ACCCCGCCTTCACTTCCTTTGCCCCCTCCTCTGGGCTCCTGGCTCTTTCTGCCGCCTTTCTACTGCTCCTCCTTGGCTCCTTCTTGCTGCTGTCTTTCCGCCACACCCATGATCTTCTGATAGGAAAGATCTACCCCTAGCCTTCTCGGACAAGGGCGAAAATACGCATACCAAAAAAATATTTAAAATCCCGAGGCTTAGTCTTATCTTGAAAATGGAAAATAAATGTTAGCGAATTCGAGTCCTCAACACAAGTACCTTCTTAAAACAAAGGTGTTTTACGCTCCCACCAACAAATTCAGATCATTTTGGAGGCAAGCCCCTACCCCACATGACCTGTCATAGCCAACCCAGACTCAAAAAGGATATGACGTCTCAGATTTACTGTGTGCGACAACAAAACGCTTTAAAACCGCTACACCACAAACACTGGTTGTTCCAATTCAATGATTTTCACTGACAATCGGGGTGAATAAATAGGGTTTTTTAAAAATAATTTTTAAATAAAAAAATTAAAAACATGAAAATATCATAAACAAATAAATAATTTTTTTTTAAACAGCACAAAAGTTCTAACTTAGACTTTTTTCTATTTAGTTTCAGGGAATCCCTTCAGGTGTTTATTGAAAGAGAATTCCAATCAATTCACTCCATAGACGCCTCCAATGTAAGTATACACTTGGACTCTTTCTGTATTTTATCTCTTTATAGAATGTAGTGAAACAAATTATGTTGATGTTGCCTTTTATTGATCGTTTGACGTTTAAGTGAAGAGAAGCACATCGGCACAATAACGGCCATTTAGTGCTAGGGAAAAGTAAGACAGATATACCGAAATATCCGGGGGAAAGAAAGGAAGCAAGTAATACCTACCAGCGGCGCCCTACATTCACCCACTTTTAATGATATGCGCACAGTTAACAAGATAGTAAATGATGTAAACAACGGTTTGAAATACAACTGTGGTAACAGCGTCATGAAACAAAAGATACTAGACACGACAGCAGCAGCAACTGCTGCAGCAACAGAAGCAACGGTTGTAAGGACAACAGAACCATCTGAAGATACACATCGTTGTTTTTGTGCTTCTCAATATAATTGTAACGTGGACAGAGTAACAGCTTGTCTCCATAATACGGGGTGCCCACTACGGACGGGATCGGCCGATTGGGGCCGATCGCCCGACACGAACGCTCAAAAACAAACGTGTTTGTTTTCAGTTTCAGGCGATCGAGTCGGGCGATCGGCCCGATCCAGCTGTAGTGGGCACCCCGTATTAAGCGCGACGCGACGTCGCATCGCGTGTAGTCCTTGCCGCTCTAAGATCGAACAAGTAAGATTAAAAAGACACCGTTTCCTTATACGCGACGCAACGTTTAATCGCACGCGACCGTCGCCTGCGATCGGTCCATGAAGCGATTGAGAGTCTCTTCGCGTGCGACAGGCTGGGGATGTGACGGGTTTACAGCATCACTATTGGTCAAAATACTTAGCCAAGAAGTGCCGGTCGACACGTCGTGTGTAGTGTAATGTGGTGTGGTGGTGGTGGTGTTGGTGGTAGTGGTGGTGGTGGTGTGTGTTGGTATGTGTGGGAGTTTTTTTGTGTGTATGTGTGTGTAGGATGTTCATCTTTAATTCGACCCAATGCAAGTTTTGTGCATCTAATTTTGAGTTTTGTTTTTTTAACGAATAGGAGGAGGAGGAGGAGGAGGAGGGAGAGGAGGACTTACACTGGATTGGCCGTTAACGAAATAAAACATATCAGCAGCTCGTAGTACTCCCTCCAAACGGACTTTGTACTTCCTTGTCCGTCTTGTCATTAAGATTTGCCACTGTCTCACTTCTGTGAATTGCCAATCACCCGAGGGCTTAGCCCGTCGCGCGCGACTAAACGTCGCATTACGCATAAAAGAGACAGTTTTGTCGCTTTTGTCGCACGTAACTGAAAATTTTGGCGCAATGTGGTGGCACATAAGGATACACATCTCGCCACTCATCACTAACGACTGTCGCTTTTGACTAAACTCCGCATCGCGCATAAGGAGACATCATGTCACATAGGCTAAGGCATGTCCCTTTGGGGTTTCCTAGTCATTGACTGGGCTACTTTACGGGCTTTTACCAAACTGGCGATCAATGTAGAGGCTCATCGGTGTCTGTGGTGTTGCAGTTAGGTGCTTCGTTGTCTCCCGCAGAGACCCGAGTTCGATTCTCGAGTAGATTCATTTTTATTGAGTAGATTTTTTTTCGTAAATAATTGTGTCGATGGGGGCGTAAAACATCTACATTAAAAAAATTGTAGTGCCTCAGAACTCGGACGGACTGCTGAAGGCGATACATGTACCTTGTATATATACATTTGTAGAATTTAATTTCCTGAAGTTGAAGTTATTTTTCTAATCGTTCGGAAGGCATTTGTTAAGTTCTCGTTCAAAATTCTAAGATCTATTATAGTTTAATTTTTTAATATTTTTTTTTCAAATTTCAGATTGTGCTTGGTGCCGGTCTGACGCCTGTGTTTGACACGCTGGCTTTTGTCTTGACGGAGCATGGCGGTGATTTAACATATTGATTTGCCTTCTTCTTCTTCTTCTTCTTCTTCTTCTTCTTCTTCTTCTTCTTCTTCTTCTTCATACATCATCATCATTAATATTCGTTTTAAAGTGCATAGACAATGCTATGCTATAAAACGTGGATAGGCGCTATATCTGTAAAGTAGGTAGTTCTAATCCCGTCTTGGGCCAGATGTTGTGTCCTTGTAAAAGGTACTTTATACAAATTTTCCTCACTTCCTACAGATGGCAATGCGCACCTGGCTATAAGCAGCGAGAGTTATAGTTAGTGTTCTAGATTCTGCTGGAGTAAAAGTCGTTGCAAAGTTGTTGGAGCAGGATGTTGAGTTAGGATAATGTCGTTTTGTTATTATTATTATTTTATTTTTATTTTTTAAAATATTTATTTATTTTCTTAAATTATTTTTTTTAATTCTTCTTATTCTTCTTCTTATAATTATTTTTATTGCTATTATTACTATTATTATTTTTATTATTACATGTATTTCTATCATCATCATCATCATCATCATCATCATCATCATCATCATCATCATCATCATCATCATCATCATCATCATCATCATCATCATCATCATCATCATCATCATCATCATCATCATCATCATGACAATTCGAATGGAGTTATTTGGATGAGTGGAGGTGCCTCTAAGTACATTGACAATGGAGCCGAAAAAGAGCCTCGCTCTCGCTCGAAGATTTCTTCGTGGAATCTGCCAGGCCCATTAAGGAAACAAAAAAATCATCATCATCATCATCATCATCTGGCAACTCGCCAGATCAGATGTCACGCTATGTGGAAGTGTCTGGAAGGGCAAATGTGTATAGTCGGTGGAAGATGAAGATCTCGGTGGATCTGATCATTCTGCAATCATCATTGTAGTGAACAGAGCAACTAAACATCAATCAATCCTTACAAAGGCGCCGCGATGGAGAAGAAATGGAGTGAACTGGCCAGACTTTCTAAATGAGATTGAAAGCAGGATGGATAACTTACAGGAAACTGACGATCTGAATCTGCGAGTCCAACGTTTCAATGTCATCTTACTTGAAGCAGCTTATGCCCATGTCAGGAAGGTGAAGCCGTCCAAGAAATCGCACTCTTGGATGACACCCATGTGTCGTGGACTGATCAAGAAAAGAAACCAGCTAAGAAAAAATATCTCCTCACACAGGGAGGAATGGTTACAAGCTTGCAAAGATGTTACAGAGGCTGTCCAAGAAGCAAAGACTGATCAGTGGAAGGAGGTTGTTAATGGCGTGATAAATGATCTGGACGAAAGGAAAACTTGGAGTTTCATCAAGTCTCTAAATGGATCACCAGAAACCAACTCTCCGAACGAAGTACTGAAACACAACGGGAAAAGGATAACATCAGCAAATATGAAAGCTGAGCTTTTTGCCCAGCACTATGCAAAAATCAGTAAGCTCCAATTTACTCAAGAGGAGCGCAGAAGAAACAAACTCCGATTGAAGCGCCTACTGTATGACGATGTGAACAGCGAAGATGAACAACAATCCTACCCAGACTTCATCATGAAAGAGCTGGAGTGTGCCATAATACAAAGGAAGAGAAGAAGTGTTTCAGGACCTGATGATATACCACCATCTTTCTTAAAAGAGCTTGGCCCACTCGCATTGAAAGACTTGCTCAGCATATGTAATCTGTCGCTTAACCAAGCAGCGCGCCCACAAGACTGACGTAAGGCACTTATCATTCCTCTCTTGAAAGCTGGCAAGTCACCTAGTGATATGACATCCTTTCAACTAATTAGTTTGACAATGCGTGTCGTGAAAGTTATAGAAAGGATGCACGCTGAAAGAATTTACTACCTGTCAGAGGAGAATGAATGGATTGCTGATATTCAGTCTGGCCTTCGCCAGGGTCATAGCTGCACTGATCAGATCATCAGAATCTGTCAAGGAATTGAGGATGGTTTTCAACAAAAGCCAACATTCCATCGATCAGTCCTAGTCCTGCTGGACTACTCCAAGGCATATGATACGGTTTGGCGTGAAAGACTATTGCTGTCAATGGCCGACAAGGGGGTTCCTTTGCGTGCAATCAGATGGATGCATGGTTTCCTGAGAAACAGACAAGCCCGTGTTCGCCTGAAAGGATAAACAAGCAAGAGCCAGAATTTCAGGCAAGGACCTCCCCAAGGAGCTGCTGTATATATTCTTCATAAACAACCTGGCAGAATCCCTCCCAAACCCTGACTCACAACAACTAACCTCCGCCAAGCTGATCTACTCAATGTTCGCTGATGACTGCACAATATTGGCCAGTCACGCAAAGAGAGAAAAGGCAAATGAAACGACACAGTTGATTGTGGACATGGTTGTGAAATGGAGCAAATGAATGGAAGCTTACCTTGAATGCAACCAAGAAGTGTGCTTCTTCTCAACATGGGTGAAAGAGGCAACGTGGCAACCAATAATTCAGATCGAAGGGCAAATGATACCATTCAACCCCACTCCACGCCTGCTGGGCGTCTACCTGGATAAACAGCTAACCTTCAACAAGCACATTGAGGAAGTGTCCAAAAGTGCAACCTCAAAAATGAAGGTTATCGGTGCTGTCAGCAACTCAAAATGGGGCTGGAGTAAGGAGTCGCTCAAGAAAGTATATCAGATGTCTGTGAAAAGCAAGATGGATTATGCTGCCCCAGCGTGGCAGCCTTGGCTGAGTGAGACTAGTGCAAAGTCCCTGGACAGAATACAAAACAAAGCCCTCCGACTTGTTTCAGGTCAGCTGAAATCAACACCAACAGAAGCACTGCGCTATGAGACCAGAACTGAGCACTACACCACCTATACAAAAAGAACATGCCTCAAGTCTGTAGAGATGGCTAAGAGATTGCCAGACAACCATCCTAGAAAGAAAGCCCTTGATCAAGCAGTCTAAAAACAGCAGGAAAAGTTGGTTTCGGATGGGCACCTATCTTTTTGACCACCAGAAGCAGAGAATCGATGGCCGATCAATCTGGTGAGAGCTTGTCCATAGGAGACCCATGGCGAAACCGAAATTCAGACAGAACTGAGAGGAGTAAAAGGAAAAGATGATGATCCTGTAAAGGCACGTGAAGCAGCAGAGGATGTGATCAAAGAGGTTGGTGCGGATGAACCACCACGAACAGAAATTATAAAAAACTAAAGGTGCATTCCTTACATCATCTTATGACGAGGAATGCCAGGCAATGATGTCTGCTGCACAATGGATTGCTGACAATTGCCACAGCAAAACCAATGTGCTGATCTTTCCAGACAGTCAGTCCCTCTGCAACGGACTGCTGGGCAACAGCTCGGACATGAATGATTTGCGCCGCAAGTTCAATGAAGCCAGAGCCACAATAATAATCTAGTGGATTCCAAGCCATGTTGGAATAGAAGGAAATGAGGCAGCAGACCAAGCTGCTAATGAAGCCAGAGAGATTGAAGGAAACAGACGGCCAACAACATACAGAGGAGTCTTTCCAATGATCAAGAGGGAAACCAGAGACCAACCTTGTAGAACTAAGTACCAGCACCTGAAAGATGTGTATTCTGGGTACTCCTATAAGCGGGAACAAAAGTCAATCACATGTCTCTGGGACCAGGGTGAGCTAGCGAGACTGCGGTCGGACCATCATTGGAGTTTAAGAGCGTATACGAACTTTGTAAATGAAGAGCTCAGCCAATGTTGCCGAAGATGCGCCATGAAAAGGAAGATGTCAAACATATGTTTGAATGTCCAAGAACAATGGCAATTCAAATGGAGTTATTTGGACAAGTGGAGGTGACGCTAAGCATATTGACAATGGAGCCGAAAAAGAGCCTCGCTTTCGCTCGAAGAATTCTTTGTGGAGTCCGCCAGGCAGATTAAGGAAACAAAAAAAAAAATCATCATCATCATCATCATCATCATCATCATCATCATCATCATCATCATCATCATCATCATCAATCATCATCATCAATCATCATCATCAATCATC